CCCGAAACTTTTCAATTATTTGTATTGTAACTATACTGGTATAACACTATTCTGGCTATCAATAAAGTCGTGATAAAAATTAGGAAATTGGTCAGGTATGATATTTTATGGTGTGTAGGTACTAATTCTTTTGAGTAGATAATTCGTTCAATTATTTAAATATTTTCACCGATAATCAAGTACGATGACTTGTAGGTAACTGGAGACTGAGTGAATAGGAATTAGGAAGTGTATGATGTGGCGAAGATAAGGAAAGAGGTCATTAGGATTTCAGAGTGTTTGGCGTATGAAAGGGAAATGCGAAAAAGAAATGTAGGTAATGTATAGGTTGGGTAGGTAAGTGGAGTGAGAGTAGCAGATATGAGAATGTCAAGTTGAGTGTGAAAGGGACAAAAGAGGATAGAATAAAATATTAATGAATTAAATGTAGTGTAGGAGTGACACATAATATATTTAAGTGTAAACAAGAGAGACTAGGTTGAGGTGGTTCGGTCACTGTATGATAAGAGGTAGTGAGAGAAGCTAACAGATGGAGGTAAATGTAGGGGGAAAGTGAGAGGTGAGAAGACTGAAGAAGTGATGGGTAGAACAGATGATATTATGGAGGTGCAGGAAAAGAGGGTGGCTGAACCTGTATAGTTGTGTGAGAAGGGGGAAGTAAAAGTGTGAAGGTAGAAAAGTTAGGTTGACAATACCGAATACGTAGGAAAGGATCTCGAATTGCAAAGGCCACTCGACTCTTTGGCTGAAACTACCGGCGGTAGGTTTACAACCTAGACTTATGGGATAGAATAAAAAGATCGGTTGGTTGCCGGTTGGTATGTCAGTGCACTATTTGTTTCCATCTTTGACCCACGCGAGGTAAAATCATAGGCGCTATTGGGGAATGAGTATGAGGGGGGGTCTAGGGGCGGGCTTATAGCCTAATAAAAAATTATGCGGATCTGTATTGATTTCATGAAGTAGCCAACGCGTACTAAGTAGCGAAGTACGTTGGCTACTTTATGACATTTTAGTTATTATATAATTTATGACTTATTAGCGTGTAAATAATTAAAATTTAAAATGCTTATAAATAATTAAACTAATTCAAAGACACACAAAAAAAAATAATATTTAATGTCTACTAAAAAAATTACAATATATATATATCTTAATAATTAATAAACAGTTGGGCAACTATTGCTTAAATGTCGGTTGGAGACTGTAGTCATCACCAGCTAATATTAAACGAAAAGTAAACATGAGGGCGTTGCCCTCACACCACTATAAAAATATTAATTTGAAAATATAAAAACTATAAAATATAAGAAATTTCTTATTTTCAAGTTTAATTCTTCACAATTATATACTGTCTTTACGACTTTACCTAATTAAAAAACAAAAATTAAGAGTTAAGTTGAATTTTAAAAAAGTGTATTAATATATTTCGAAACAATTGCATAATTTATTTTTTTTTTGTTTGGGGGGGGGGGGGGTATTACAAGTTTTCGGGGGTTGCGCTTATGATTGTGCGTGGGTCAGAGATGGAAATAAATAGTGCACTAAAAATATGACGTCCTCTTAAGTGTTATCAAGTTAAGAGGGGGGTTCACACTACACCGTGGCGTGTAAAATAATCGCGGTTACCACAGTTACCACACGATACCGCATAGTTGAATATATGTGTATCGTTTGGTAACTGTGGTGACTGTGATTATTTTACACGACACGGTGTAGTGTGAACCCTCCTTAAGAAGCTGTTAATTATTGATATTTAACATTAACTGTGGTAGTGGTAATGTGGTATGATTGGAAGTTAAAGTAAAAAGCAGGGCTGTGAATTGAATGCACTAAAAATTTTTTAAATATGCACTAAAATTATTCGATAAAATGCTCTATAAAAAAAGCCATTATTAAAAACTATTGAAATTAATAAATACAAATTATAAATGGCTTACAAAAAAAAATTCTTTATTCACTTACTAGCTAAGTATCATTATTTTTCTAGTTTGTAAAAAATTATGAATGTATATTATAGCCAATTTAGACCTGATTTACAGATAAATACAATATTTTTAAGAAAATAATCATAAATAAAAAACATCATAAAAACTTTCAATTATAAAAATGCCTTAACCCAAAATATAGACATGGGATTTTGTATTTGTACAAAAAAAATAAATGTTTAATTTACATATTACTAGTTAGGTGGCCAAGAAAACATGTAATTACTTACCTAACCCATTAAATTATATGCTATATAAGATTTCGTATTTAAACTATAAATAAACCAAAACAAATTTTGGCCGTATCCATTATCTTATAGTTTTTTATACTGTGTATCAAACAAATATGCAAACGCATTTAATTCAGTACAGTTATACCATATGTTATTGGTACATTTGCGGGGTTTGATTTAACTAATATCTACATTCTAATTGCAATGAACCTTGCAAAAATGTTATTCTACTAGTCTGCTCATATATATATATATATATAAAGTAAAATAAGTCTATGGTAATTGTATGGTCTTTAATTTTGGTCATAGGTTTTTTTATTGTAACTTGAAAAGTTAAAAATGTTTAAGCGAAAAAAGTGAAAGGGGTACGCCACCCTTTGAAGAGGGGTGGAGGAATACACACAAGGGGTGGGTGTAAACTATAAAATAAAAATAAAAATCCAGCTTTCGTGGAATTAGTTCCGAACTTTTTTCTAATTTGACTTTGATAATACTATAATTAGCGTAAAAAAATCTATATTGAAATTAATGTACAATAGTCATAAATTGTAATAATAATATTCAAATGCATAATATATTATAGCAAATGTTTAAATGTACACAGCAGACCACATATTTATTGGCTGCATAATATTCTGTACGTCACACAGACACACAGTCTCTCTTTAAAATTATCCCGTCTACAAAATATAAATCATTTGTAAATCTAAAGACTTAATTGAGTACCTAATTGATAATTGTTCTAAAGGAGCGACGTGCCCTGTCGCCTGCTCACTAGTTGGAGACACATTAGTACAAGATTTGTATTAACGTCAATACTTATAGTATCGACCAAAAATATTATGTGAGAAACAAAAAACTAATGTTTCAAGTAACGGATAATCACATTCTTTGGCTTAGTGTGAATATCTGGACATTATAATTGCGGAAAGGTGTTAAGTGTACGTATCGGCCGCTGTTACTAGATCCCGGATGGGTGACCACCCGGTATTTTTAGCAACAAATAGTTGCCACACATACTAACGTGTTTTAACCAACCGTTACTACTCACTACAAACAACCTACAAGCAAAAAAACCATCTAATGGTCAAAGTTGCTGGGCTCAAGCTCAAGCTCTTTTAACACGGTCTTAAAGACTGCCAGCTAGAGTTGTACCAGTATAATTAAAAACTTTCTGTTTTGGATTCTGGGCATTTTAGTTTGAACTCTTTAATGTGTTTCCTACTGTATAATTTTTTCTAAATTTTTTTTTGGTTTTCTAAAATGCAATTGCCTGCGGGCGCCCACACTCCCCTTCAATTTTTTTTTAGGAATTTGATTCTAGTTGAATTTTTTTGTATAGACTTGAATATTGTTAACAAGCAGGTGCCCTCTGTATCATCATTCTTTAATGAGCTAATCATTGACAATATTGTTTTTTCTGTTTTGGATTCTGGACATTTTAGTTTGAACCCTTCAATATGTGTTCCTATTGTATGATTTTTTCTAAATTTTTTTTTGGTTTTGTAAAATGCATTTGCCTGCGGGCGCGAACACTCCCCTTCAATTTTTTTTTATAGAATTTGACTCTAGTTGAATTTTGATAACCTGCATTTGCCCTCGGTATTGAAATTCTTAAACGAGCTTTTTAATCATTGTGGATTGTTTTTTCTGTTTATGAATTTGAATTCATTGATATGTGTTCTGATTGTATAATTTTTTCTAAATTTTTTTTTGGTTTTCTAAAATGCAATTGCCTGCGGGCGCCAACACTCCCCTTCAATTTTTTTTTTTAGGAATTTGACTCTAGTTGAATTTTTTGCACAGACATGTTTATTGATTACCTGCAGTTGCAATAGTATAGTAATTTTATATTCTTAGACCTTAGTATAGTACAAATAATAGATTAATAATCCAAGACCGTGGTATAGTATTATGAAAAAAACCAAAAAAAAATTGGGTTAGGTTATTAAACAAAGAAAACAAGAAGATTCACCGCATTCGGAAGTCGTGTTGTCGGGGAAAGACGTGGCGCATAATATGGCTACACTGGGTTCGGCCGACTGCCCTGCACGGGATCCACGCTTGCAACACTGCGTAAGTGTGCGTCTCCGACGAATTTGTACGTGCGTATACAGTCAGTGCATAACGCACACGGCACTACAGCGACGGCATGCAAATATACAATAGGTATGTGTATTGTACTATAATAATAAAATTATTGTATCATGTATAAAAATATTATATTATACCATAATACGGTCGTAACGATGTTGTGTATCCGGTATTCCGGTATCGGCGGCGTTAGCACCAAGGTTACGCTCGCAGCTAGCTGATTAAAATAACGGCATTTTCGTGTCCAATAAAACATAATAGTATACTCTATTATCATTTATCTCATTGTAGGTTAAAAAATAAAAACGGCCAAATTCCTGACTGATTGTCGCGCTACGTTCTGCCGATTTCGATCCAAGTATCAAACGGCAGGAATCGAACACCCGTGTCTGCCGGCTGTTATGGTCGCCCCAATAACGTTGAAGATTTTGAACAACCTCCTCTGACCGAACAAACGACGCCGGCACCCCCGACGACGACGACGACAGAACAGTTGTTGTTGTTGTTCACTTTCTTCATCCCAAACCGTGAGTACGACAATTGAGCAGAAAATCTAACCACTTCATCCTCCTCCATGTCCAATTTTTACCACTTCATTATTAAGACACAATTTTACCAAACGGTTCTTACATTTTCTGATATTAAAGTCCATTTACCGACAATCATTGTTTTTTGATTTAGTGCAATGGGTGAGAGCATCAGTGATCAAGAATTGCGACGACGTCTGTTGACCTTCAACACCGTCGTCCCTCCGGTCACCGATTCGACCAGAAGATTGTTGGCGAGAAAACTTGCAGATCTTGAGAGCCGCCATTCGAGCCAAATTGATTCGCCCAAATCAAACGATATATCCTTGATAAATGTATCGAATTGGAATCATTCTGCTAGCGAAGATGAAGACAAAAACTCTTATTTGTTTACAGGTCTGTTGCTAATGTGGCTATATTAATTAAATTAAAAACAGTTTTAAAATAGTTTAATACTTTGCAGAAACTAGAAAGTTTTCTAACAAACTACCTGAAATACAGACTGAAAAAAAAAAACCAAGACTTTATGACTCTAATGTTAGCTTAACCCCAAGAGAACCTATTTTTCGAAGTCCACGTTCGAATCCTGTCACTGAAACACCTTATGCGGATCAAGCTATTCAAAGGTGGAAAGAAAAAATGATGAATCAATCCCAAAGTAAGCCACTTGGTTTCTAATTCATCAAATGATACATTAAGTCTAATCAATTTATATTTGTTCCTAAAATACATTAAACTTTTCAAAATGCGCAGTTACAATAATATTTTTAAGAGGATGCTATCCTTGATGCTACACTCGCGTGCTGTCTGCAAATTGTACATTTTTAATAATCTATTTAACTCTGTTATGATTAATATTGGAGCAAATTGACCTATTGTCAATTTTTTTTTTTTGGTTTATAAGCTTTTATTCAATCTGTTACAAAAGTGAACAATAAGAACAATTGATGGTAAATATAGGCTAAAATAAAAATAAAAAGGCAGATTAAACAGACTGTAGAGGCCTCCCAGCGGAGGCACTACAACATGAGTAGTTATCAAATTTAGAAGTAAGAATATTATTTAGTGAACCTCCTAAGTCCTAGAGTTTTTAGTTTTAAAGCAAGTTATGAATATTTTAAAATTGTAAATTGTTGGTGCACTTAAAAATACTTATAACTTAAAAATCTACGAGGTTCACTAGATACTAGATAATATTAATACTTCTAAATTTGATAATAGGTCAATTCGCTCCAATATTAACCATAACAGTTTTAAATAGATTATTCACAACATACAATTTGCTAGGTGATGCGTTTGTAAGACAGAGAAAACCTTACTGGTGTAGCACCTTCTGAATAACTAATAATATTTATTTTTAATGTTAACCATGTACTTTATCACTAACTCTACTGCTACCAAATATGTTCATACTAGTTTAGACAATTATTGGTCAGTTAGTTTTAAGTATTATACTCTGTTCTGACCAAGAATACACCGCATAGGGTGCGTTGTCAACGGCAATGGTCTGTGGAGTGAGGCGGATGTACAAACTAGACCTAGACTTTGTCCGCTGCTTGGTGCGTTTTTATTCTGAACAGAGTATAGTTAAACTATTATTATTATGGTTCAAGACTAATTGCATTATTTTTTTTTATTTTTTAACACCAAAACCTAAGAATATAATTAACTGTTTATAAAACCAAAACCATTTTAACAAATATTGAAAAATATCATATTTGAGTTTACTAATAATTAATAATAATCCCCCAATTTTATTATAACAAATAATTTATAACCATTTCATAATTTTAAAACCCTTAAAAATTAAAAAAAAAAAACTACAAAAATCAAAAGTTAGGTATGTAAATTAATCTTAAAACGCAAATCCCAGAATGTAAAAAATGAAAATAAAACAAACTTCATTTGGTTATGCTCTAAAAATTGTTAAAATATGTATCATAAATCATAACAAACAAAAATGTATTTTAAAATACCTTGTTAAAAAAAGTTATAAATATTTATTTTACAATATATATACCTAACAGTAGTTACAAAGGGTTAAACAAAACTAATTAATTAATACAACTGTGCAAACAAAAGAATTATCTTATAAATATAATTATGAAAACAATAAAAATATGGAATAAATTTAGAAGGCGGGAGTTAGGAGGTAAATGTTCTGAGCGTGCAGATGATGGTGCTTATGGCCGTAAGAATAAGGTATAACGAAAGGTAGCTAGTTGCGGGAAGGGTACGACGGAACTCTAAAGCAGACTTTTTCAAGTCGGACTGGAACATCCAGGGACCCATTTAAAAGTGACTGAATGATTCTTTGGTATGCTTCAATGCGACGGTAGGATTGTGTTTGGACATTCATGTATGTAGGAGTAGGCGGTGTTGTGTAATCGGAAGTTGAGTATGAAAGCAGCATATTATGTTAAAAATTTATTCTGTACTTGTTCAAGGCAAAGTTGGTCTTCGCAAAAAAAGGTTGCCAAACAATCACACCAAATTCAAGGAGGGGTCTGAAATTACTGAAAAATATAATTAATGGAGGCAAAGGGCATATTTGAAACCTTTGGTGTTATGTTTAATGAATCCAAGCGCGTTCAACGCTCTATTAACAGTGAAGTTGATATGATGTTCAAAAGAAAGAGAGGAAGTGTAAAATATCCCAAAGTCTTGAACAATTGAAGCAGATTGTTATTTAAAGTATAGAGGACGGTGTCCATGGAATATCTTAAAAAATATATGAAAGCATGGTATCAGAACACATAATTAATTAGGGCTGGACTTCAGTCTACTTTTGATTTATAGTAAAGATTCTTAATATCTGGGAATTTATTATTAATTCCAGCAATATTCCTTCACTTTTAATATATTATGGAATTTATCCATCACTAGATACTTCAAAAAGTTCAAATACTAAATTATACTTTGTTTGTCAAGAGAATGCGGTTACTTCACGCAAAAAACCTGTGTCAATGAGTGGGAATTTGGGTGGATATGATATGTTTTGGTTACGGGGACTGACTCCATAGATTATTTACCGTGACATTTTTGTTGGCCACATCTGTGAATAAATTCTAGACACGCCTATACTGAGTGCTCCGAGAGAGCGCAAGTCGGCGGCGACCAAAACCCGTCTTGGTCTGCTCATCGTACGGCGTACGACCAGTCGACTTGGTGGGAGAAATTAGACCTCTAACCCGCGGAGACCTGCGCAGCCGACTTGCGCTCTCTCGGCGCACTTAGTATATGACTTATTTACTAGCACCTTTACCTTAATAACTTACAAATATATAAATTAATTGGTCCACGTAAATTACCTATATCATTTCTTAATACAGTCGAATCCGCTTAATTGGGACACATCGGGCGATGACCTATTTATCCCCATTATCCCGACCGTCCCAATTAACCGAACAATTTTACATGCAATACATTCATTCGGGACTCATTAATGTCCCCTTTAAGCGGATTCTACTGTATATAAATAGCAAAAAATTTAAATTGTAAATGGTTTTGGTGTTTTTAGCATTCTAACAAATCACAAAAGATTTACGTACATTCAAATCTTACTTGGGTAGCAATTTTTCGGAACCATTATAACAGAATGCAATAAGTCCTGAAGCCTAGTTATTATATAAAATTAACTTGGTTATTTAAAAATATCCAAGTAGACTAGCCTTCTCTTTAATGGTAAATACAAATTTCCTATTTTGAACATATTTTGTAACTCGGAGACAACTCTTACGAATGTTACATCACCTTAACCAAATTAAGAATACAATAATGGAATAGTGAATGTTAAAAATAAAGGATCAATTCATGTTGTTTTATTTATGTTTAATCAGCAGATAACATCAATGTGTCAAATACTTCACAGTTTGATTTTCCATCACCTGTTTCATCAATTTATTCTCAAAATTCGAGGTTTGTTAAACAATTATATTTAAAAAATAATAATAATAATTCTGTTATTTTTCATAATATAGGAGATATATTCAACCAACACAGCAAAGGCATTTGGGAAATGGCTATACAAGAAATACTCAGTATATAATACTACTTTTTATTGGTTTTTTTGTAGTTATTTTTGGATTATATTTCACTTCTATACAATCAAGTACAGTTGTGTTACCTCCAGGTAATATATAAAAATATTTTATAAATAGAATAAAATACACAAATATTGTTTCTATTATTATCATAAATATACTTTTAATAAATTGTTTACTAGTAATTGCATTTCACAATTAAACTTTTATCTATACACATTTTAAGGTTTCGTAGAAAAACTGTTAAGTATGGTTTTTATATTAAAAAAGCAAAGGAAAAACATATACTTAAAAGTTATAATTATTTTCAGTGTTGTTTATTAAAAAAATCATCTTTTTATGCAATTTTCAAGTTTGTTATTTTATCATAAAATTATAATCATTAGAATACTATCTAAATGTAAAGTAATTCATATTTAATTATAATAAATTAAGATACATTTTATGTACTAAAATACATCGTAGGAATCACTTACCCACAATAACCAATAAGTTCTGAGATTATATTTTATACTCTTTCAATCCTGTTTGTTTTCTTAGCTATTTTTTGTTTTGAAATTTTAGGAGAAAATATGGTGTACATTTATTTTTTTACTCAACGGCTCAATACTCATAGTTGTTATTAAATTGCAGGTATTTTGAACTCTTTATGTGCCAAAAAAAATCTAGAAGGGTTTGACTGTGAAACAGAACAAGAAAGAGTACAAAAATTATATAGCTCTTTGGTATCCCAAGTTCAAGATAAATATATCAAGAATCAATGTGAAACCTCAGATATAGAACCGACTGTGGACGCTCAAACTATATTTGAATATATTTCAACCCATGAAAATTTACCATCCAGGGAAATAGAAGAATTAGTTGAATTATTTAAAAGTATTGCCAAAACCTATTCTGATTCGCCAATTGGATTTGACACTACGTTTAATATCAATATACAGCCAAATTTACCTATTCTGTGTGCAGTTAAAAATATTTTTACAAACATGTTCTATCTTATTTTGTGGCTAGGAATAGGTAAATAAATTAAAAATATTCTACTTACTTCATATAAATTAGATTATTAAACATAATTATAAACTAACTCTTATTATATTTAATTTTATTGTTTTAGTTTCATTGTCCCTCATAAGCCTTTATTTTGGAATATGCTACATGACAACCAAAAGTGAAAAACATAAACATGAAGTTAATCGCTTAGTTGAAAACATAATTGATTTACTGAAACAACACGCTCAGTATCGACCCAATGAAGGTTACTTACCTATCATACATATACGTGATCAATTAATTCCACCAAATGAAAGACAAAGTATAAAAACAAGTTTTACTGTAAAGGAAATTACTTTTTTTCTTTAACATACCATTATTTATTCCAGCAAAATCTAAAATTTGGGCTGAAGTTGAACAATATTTCACTGAATCAGAATCAAGAGTAAGATCTGAGATCCAACAAATCGATGGTGAAGACTTTCAAGTATGGAGATGGGTTCAACCTATGTCCCCTGTCACAGCGTGAGTTATATTCTATATTAATAATATTACAAAGCAAATTAGGCAACTAGGCCCGATGACTAAGATATATCCCCTTAAGAAAAAAAAATAGTTTAATATAGTTATAAAATTGAGATTTCATACTCCCCACCAATTAAAAAATTCCCGAGTATGCCTGTGAATAATAATGTCCATCATTTACTTCATTACACAATGACTTTAAATTTTTTTAATGCATGTGATGTTTGCTCAGCCTCACAAACAGGGTTTACATAGCCCAGTTAATAATGTTTAATAACATTGAACCTTAATTCTCATGAAAACCACTCTTTTTTTAGATACCATAGATAGTTATTTTTTTATTAATGGTAAAGAAATAATATAATGTGAATGTAATTTTTTTTAAGTACAACATTATCTAAATAACTAAATATTTTATTTTAGAAAAAAAATTTGGCAAGGACAAGCATTCGAAACTACTGATGGTAGTATGAACTCTCCTCAGCCAAGTCCTACTTCTTGTTTAAAAATCCGTCATATGTTTGGACCAGATTCGTAAGTAGAATGTTTGTAAAAAAAATGTAAAAAAATAATATATATATTTCTATAACTAATTAAATTAATAAGTAGTAACAAATGTTTTATTTAATTTCACAGTATGCTAGGAGTTGATTGTGAATTACGTGTCAGAGATGCTATTCTCGAAAAGTGTGAGTCTACAGAAGTCTTACATCTTTCAGTTGATCGTAACAGTCAAGAAGGATGTGTATATGTTAAATGTGCCTCTCCTACTGAAGCAGGAAAAGCTTATAGACAGTTACATGGGTTCTGGTACGATGGTATGTCATATTTCTAATATAATTATATATTTAAACTAGTTTCTTATTATAGAATCATATAATTGTTTAATATTTGGACTTAATGAGTTTTAATTGTTTCAGGAAAACTGGTAACTGTGAAATTTTTACGTTTGGAGCGTTATCATCAAAGGTTTCCAGATGCTGTTAGTGTGACAGTACCTCTTACCCCATCTAATAATGAAAAACGTTCATTACAATAAATTACATTGTTATATTAAAATATAATCGTATGTCACTAACATTGTTGTTTAATTTTAAAAACGCCTAACGTTTTAATCATTATTAATATAATAGGTAAATGTTTTTACATTACTGCTAGAACTGTTTTGTTTTTTCTACTATTATTATTTCTATAAGTAACAAACCTTATTACTTGTTGTGAAGTATTTTGTTTTATTTTTTTTTTTTACTATTTCTTATTTTTTATTCTTACGCTTCTGGAAGCCACATTAAGTTATTGAATATATTTTTGTAAACTAATAGATGAATTCATTTTCCATGTAATATATTAATGCTACATACAAGTATGTTGTACATTTAAATATTATTCACTATTGTTCTATATTTTATCCCAATTTAATTGGTTAACTAAAAATGTCTAGTATTGTAGTAGTTATAGTCTGTCTCATGAAGAAAGGTACCACGCCTTGACAAAATCCGGTCATTCTTGTGCAACCCCACCCCGCACCATAACAAACGGTTAGCTGCACCGACAGTCGTGGTAGCAAGTAAATATGAGTGGTGTATAAACAGAGATGACGTAAACTGATCGTTGTCTGTCGTGATACATTGGGGTACTAATAGAGCTCGTGGAGTGTGCTCTATGGCCTGGCATCGGATCATAGCTCAGTCTACATGCTTGAAACTGTACCTTTCTTTTGTGAGACAGACTATATAAATATTTGTTTTGATAAATATATGTGGGGAAACTTCTATTAAAATGTCTAATGGTAGGTAGCTATGAAAATAAAAACATAAATTTCTAACTGAAAAATAATTTGAACATTTTTGAACTTCTATCATGAAACTTATAAAGCAACCTTTGTATTACATTGTCAAGCCTTTTTAATTAGTGAAAACGTTTATATCCAGAATAATTTTAAAAAAATGTGTAAAACGTCCCTTGGCTATGGTTTACGATTAACTCAAAAAAGGTAAAAAATTTTACCATTTATGGAAAATACTAATATAATTTTGTTTTGAGTAAAAGTTACCACTTTTTTTTTGGTTTTTCCTGACAATTTCTAAAACTTTTTGGAATTTTAAATTTTGACCTTTTAAAAGTATTAACTATATTCACTGATGGACAGAAAAAAAACACTTTTCATTGTAAAATTAATAGAGTTTTTCACTCCGGCAGAATCTAAAAAATAATTAATTTTGTTTCGCTTTGGCCTTTGAGATCTTGGTTATTGATGTAATACACGATTGAAGATACTATTTTAAATTGTGATGTAAAATAAATGTTTTATAAGTACTTCAGACAGTAAATACCTATATTGGGGTAAGTATTGAAGTCCTACAAGCTCCTCCCGAACTCCGCATGTTTTTAATTAGAATTCAAGTGAAAATCTATAATATTATACAAGCTATTAATACCTAATTGATTTATAAATCTTAAAAATAATTAATATTTTAATATTGTTGTACATTGGTATGTGATAGGTATAAAAATGGTAACTTAGGAGCTACGAATTAACTAATTTCTAATTGTAATGTCGATAAAACACTAGTTCCTGTTGTATTATACATTACAATAGTGTGATACGATTATTTTAATATTGGTCAATAACTTTAATCCTTAATTTTTGTGTTTTTGGTTTTTTTTCCCACTGTTTAGACAGTTAAAAATCATTACACTGTGTGTGATATTATAAACATTGAGTGGTGGTGTATATCGACATTTGACTGGTAGTGGAGATAGATGTTTCTCTCGTGACTAAACACCACTCCTCCAAATATTTTATGCCTGTCTTAAATCTGAATTAAATAATATATACAGGGTGATATTTTTATCATTGAACACTCATTATTTCAAAAAGTATTAATGTTTAAGAAAATATTTTTTTACATTGTTTCAAGTTGTTAAAAAACAATATTTTTATTAAAAAATCATATTTTTAAATATTTTTTATCCTATTAATTTTTTAAGTTTTTTACTTTTTTGAATGACAACATGTAATTTTAATTTGATATTCAAAAAAGGTGGGCAAGTGGGTGTCGCTCTGCTGTACAGTAGGTTACAAGTGGGTCACTGTATAATGGATGATATTAAATTTGAATTCAACGATATAATATCATTGTATAAGAAAAACGATTCTGAGCGGAGACGGTATGTCAGCAGTCTATGTATAAGACATATTATATACATATCTATGGTATTAAACAAAAAATTTACCTATAATAGGTACCTATAATAAATTCCAAATTAATCATATCACAATATCCATTAGATACTTATAACGCGTTATACATCAACAAAAACCGTGATACTAGCATAGATATATAATAGTACACTTTAGAAGTTTCAAGTACCCACGAATAATATTATTCAATCACAACAAAATAACTAAAATCGTAATTCTTGGTTTAAATATGAAATTTTGTCTAAATTTGAAATTAAAATGTCTGTAAAAAATAAGTGTGTTTATATATTTTTTAGATTTTTTGGTTACAGTATGAATTATTTAAGAGAATCTTTGTTTTAAATTTTCAACTCTTAGTTATAAAAACTGAACATTTTATAATTTTTTAATTCCAACGATTGATAATTTTCGAGATTTTGATAAATTTTGTCAAAATTCCAACTTTAAATGCTTATAAAAAAAAATCGTGCCTATGTATTTTTAATATTTTTCAACTGATATTGTAACAATATATCAGGAGGCTTGTATTACATTTTTACACTTTTTGGCCCAACAGATAAAACTTTATTGATATTTATAGAAAAAAAAACTAAAAAAATTGAAAGCTGTAAATCTCCATAAACAGCTCAAAAAGAGTCAAAATATTTTCAAAATTGTATGGTGTATAGGAAATGCTAATATAAACATTCAGTGAAATTTTCATGTATCTACAGTTGTTCGTTTTTGAATTACAACAAAATTAGGAAATCGCTACATGAGAAATCGAGTGAATATCCAATGTTGTAAAAATTTTAATTTCAAACGCTCATAAAAATTTAATTTGACTGTCCGGTAGAGATTTTTTTATTGATAAAGGTAGATAATCTTATAAGGAATCTTGTGTTTCATTTTCAAATCTTAGATTTAAAAAGAAAAATTTTTACGAATTCTTAACTCAAAATAATTTGCTAATTTTCGTGATTTTTCCATATTTTGTCAATTTTTGAACTTTAAATGCTTATAAAAAAAAATTGTGACTAAGGATTTTTAATATTTTTCATCTGCCTTTGAAACAACATATTAGGAGCCTTCTATTAAATTTTCAAGCTTTCGCAACCAACAAATAAAATTTTATTGATATTTCTAGAAAAAAAACTAAAAAAAAATGAAAAATGAAAATGTCCCTAAACAGTTCAAAATAAATCAAAATATTTTGAAAATGTTATCGTGTATAGAAAATGCAAATATAAACAACCAGTGAAAATTTCATGTATCTACGGTCATTTGTTTTAAAGTTACACCAAAAACCAAATTCGATTTTTTGGAAAATCGATTTTGCGTAAAAATTCCCGTTTTTCCTTAATTTTTATGTTGTTTTTCCCGGCGCTTGTGAAAACTACTGGAAAATGTTTACTTTTGACCCCCCAAAGTACCAACTAGATTCACTTTCCTATCAGAAAAGGTACTATTGAAGAAAATCGAAGCACTTTTACTGTCCCAAAACGTGATGACAGACACAAAAATATAAAAATATAAAAATATAAATAAAAATATAAATAAAAAAAAACATACATCATTGTAAAACCAATACATTCATCGCTCCGCTCAGAATCTAAAACAGAATATTTTTCTGAGTATTTCGATACATAAAAATTGAATTTAGGGCAATTAGTTTATGAGTTATAAGTATTTAAAGTTTAGATGAGCGGAGTAGTGGACAAACATTTCGCGGGGTAACCCCGTACCACTCTACTCCGCTCATCTAAACTTTAAATACTTATAACTCATTAACTAATTGCCCTAAATTCAATTTTTATGTATCGAAATACTCAGAAAAATATTCTGTTTTTGAATATCAAATTAAAATTACATGTTGTCATTCAAAAAAGTAAAAAACTTAAAAAATTAAAAGGATAAAAAATATTTAAAAATATAATTTTTTAATAAAAATATTGTTTTTTAACAACTTGAAACTATGCAAAAAAAATATTTTCTTAAACATTAATACTTTTTGAAATAATGAGTGTTCAATGATAAAAGAATCACCCTGTATATATATATATGCCTACCTACTTGGCTACTTATAAATAGGACATAAAATCGAAATACCATGTAGTATGCGTATTGGACAGATTTTTAATATCTCAATAATTCTTTGTATAGGTAGGTATGTGTATGTATCTGTGGTACCTAGTATACTTGTACGATATTTTATAGTTTTTTTTTTGTGATATTAATAGTTTCATGTTTACAATATTATAATATTATTTATATTATCATATACGACTGTGTAATATATAAAAGAAAAGTCCTGACTGACCTGCAGTGGCGTAATTAAGAATTTGGTTTGGGGGGGGGGGAGAGGATATACGTTTTTAGCAAACATTAATCATTAATGGTCACTACCAATACTTTGATCAACATTTTAGCAGTAAAAAAAAGTTTTGGGGAGGATCTAACCCCCCCTAACTACGCCCTTTGACTGACTGCGGTTCATAATCAACATAGGTGCAGCCAAAAGTCAAAAATATGATAGCTATAGAGAGACTTGAAATATTCACAGTATAGGTACATTCGTACCACCGTACCACACTATACCACTACCACAAGTAAGGTGAACTGAGAAAAGATTTTCGAAAATTCGCATTTTGATGAGGTGCTTACACATGGATTTGTTGGCTCACAAAAAAACGAATATCTGTTTGCTTATATTAAAGGTATGGGTTTGCTGTTGCAGGTTACAGACGATAAAATAGTTATTATGATTGTATATTATAATCTATTTAAGAACTGAATTTTATATACTGTATACGGTCATTCATGCGTCGTAGATTGTTTTTAAATACCTACCTTTA